TTCTAATTTAATAAGCGTGTACCTGAAACCATAAAACATTTTTTTGGACAGTAAAAGTTTATTTAAAAATAGAGACTGATTAGCAAAAAAATAATGAACATGTGTGGTTTTAAAGGTTTATTCAAAACGATATGATTGTGGCGGGCTCTGTGACGTCATAAGCCCGACCAATCAGCTCCTAGAACCATTCAGATGACATAACGACTTAGCAATATTGCAGGAGAATGGCATTTATAACTTGCGTCATCTGTCACAGGCACTTGTCACTTTCGTGCTAGATGCAGTTAAACATCCCTCTCAAAACGTCAAATGTGACAAACGTCAGACCCTCGCGTAAGGTTGCCAGCTCACTTCTACGTGATTGGTTGTAGGTTTGTGACGTATTTAGTCTGAAGCGTTTCAAATTCGGACTAAAAACACAGCTTTTCAATAATTAATTTTGGGTTTATTTTACTCGCAAATAAAAATTGAGGACACACGGGTCTTTTTATTTTTAATGTACTTTGTGGATCAGAAATAAAAAATGAAGGCGGGATGCCCTTTACATCGCGTAATTTTCGTGGTTGAATCTTGAAAGCGAAACGATACAAGTTACTTGCAGCAATTTTGGATCGCGAAATGTTTATATTAAAGCGGAAGACAAAACGAATTCGTGTCATAAAAAGATACGAATGATTTATTAACCGTGGTATTGTACATGAACTGCTACTGTGAATGTTAAAATAATTACCGAATTGTTAGAGAAACTGTGTCGTTATTTTCACAAAATTATTGTAGTGTTTAAGTTCGTTATTGGATACAGATACATGCTAAAACCAATATAAAGTGATGTATTGTGCGAAAAAGTAGAACTTCATTGTGTGTTAAGAGCAATATGCTGATGGATATGGATATTTTTGTAACCGTAAATATTGTGCTACGTTTTTTCGCGCCAAGAAGGCGTTGAAATCCAAATTACAGGGCATTCAATTGTGCTATATTATAATGGCTGTTACGATTAAAAAGCTAGTCTATTAATAAAATTCGTATACCTAAGTTATTGATAAGACATGCGAACAAAATTATGCACAAAACGGCTAACGGTAAAAAGGTTAAAGGCAATTAATTCAAACTTTTGTTGGTTAAGTTACAAAGATACATTTTTGACATTTACACACTTCAGAACATCGGTAATTTATTATCGTGAATAACTCAAACTTCAACTAATTAAATCAAAGCAGCCTCTGAAGCACGGTTTGTTCTTGAAGCACATTACGTCGACCATCTTTCGAAATTAATTTTCAACTGGTAATACAAGAGGCGTCTCACTATCCAATTTTCTGATTTGAGGTGTCATTACACAATAAGAAATCAAACTGACAATTGGAGAAAAGTTCAACGCATCGATCAAAGTAGGTTTTTTTTTAATTTTTGTATTGTATAAAAATAGGAGTTGGCGGTTTTTGGGGATTATGTATAAAAACCATTCTTGCTAGAAGTCATTTTTATATTACCTACGTAAGAGAACGAGTCACACAAATTTGTGTATTTTTATAAATGATATGGGCACTCAGACCAAAGATATTGGTAATTTCTTTTTAGCGCATTTCCACAAAAATAAAAAAAATGCGCTATTGTGGCCACTTTGTCCGTCCGTCCGTCCGTCCGTCCGTCCGTCCGCTACTTTTGCGACGCTACTAGTTCTTTATCTTAAGAGCTATTGTTCTACTTTTTTCGCTATTTGGTTCATTATGGTGTCGAGGCTTGCACCAAGGAAGGAATTTTTTCTGCGTTTATTGCTAAAAAAGTTATTGTAAAAAAACCAAAAAACCGTTTTTTACATGTTCCATAATTTTACACTTTTGCCGTTTATTAACGATCCTAGAGATCGTTTATAATTTTGTATTGCTGTCTGTCGTCTGTCTGTTGGTCTGTCCGTCTGTTCCTTTGTCTGTCTGTCCATCTATCTGTCCGTGTGAACGATAACTTTGTTTAGAAATGTTCGATCGCTTTTAAATCTCCGTTAGTTATGAACTGAATTGCATGAAATTCAATATGGGCATAGATTTAGCCATATAATACGCAATGCCAAAACTTGAGTCGAATCGATTCAAAATTCACAGTGCCCTTTTCGCATCTCGACCATTTATATACCGAATTGCAAACTTTTTTACTTATAAAAGTAGGCCGACGAATTCGCACGAAACGGAAGCAACTTAACAAATGTAGATATGATACCCGTTCTATCTGAAGATTTTAAATATAGGATAAAGATTAATATCAATGACTTGTGGCAAACGAAATGGCATTCTGAAAATACCCAACTGAGGCACATTAAACCGTCCATTAAGCCATGGAAACCTAGATTACTTACAAGGCGACATTCTACAGCGCTAACGAGGGCAAGAATAGGCCATACTAACCTTACCCATCTCCATCTTCTAGGGAAGGTAGGAGTAAATGAGTGCATGCGATGCAGAGTGAATGTGTCGATGTATCATATATTGATTGAGTGCCGCCAGACCGAAAGGCTGAGAAGAGAGCTAAATGTACCTAATAACCTTAAAAGTATATTTGAAGATACAACTGATGCTGTCAATAGATTACTGTTATTTCTAAGTAGAACTGGTATTTTAAGGAAACTATAATTACTGCAGAAAACACTTATTAAATAATAGCTAATAGCCAAAGCAGCTGATGCTAAATAAATAAATAAATAAAAAAAAAAGTTTTGATTGAAATTTGATACATAGGCACTTGGAATAAAGGAAAATCAAACGCCAGTTTTAAAATCTGGTTTTGCGTATGCGCAGTGCCAACTTTTTTATTTATGGAAGAATTTAAATGAAATGAGATACATAGGCACTTGGATTAAAGGAAAATCTAGCGCCAGTTTCAAAATTTTATTTTGCGCATGCGCAGTGCCAACTTTTTTATCTATGGAAGCATTTAAGTGAAATTTGATACTTGGGCGCTTGGAACAAAGGAAAATCTAACATTAGTTTCAAAATTTAGGTTTGCGCATGCGCAGTTCCAACTTTCTTATTTAGAAAAGCATTGAAA